AAATAAGAGTCTCTTGGTTTTAGCCCTGCTGAACTGGTTTTTGGGCATAGTGTGAGGGGGCCCCTGAAGGTTCTGAAAGAACAACTCCTATCCACTGAGACACAGCCACAATCAAATGTGCTAGAGTTTGTCACACAGTGTCGAGAACGTCTATACCATGCTTGTTCTTTAGCCAGGAAATCCTTGTTGGCTACTCAAGAGAAAATGAAAGATCTGTATGATAAAAAGACAGTACAGCGTTCTTTCCAGCCTGGTGACAAAGTACTTATGTTGGTACCCATACCTGGTTCATCTCTGTCAACACAATTTGCAGGCCCATATGTGGTAAAAAGCCGAGTGAATGACACAGACTACATTGTTCACACTCCTGATCGAAGGCGTCAAACTCGTCTGTGTCATATTAATATGTTGAAACTTTTTCATTCCAGAGAAGATGACCATAAAGGTTTGTGTTGTGAAGAGTCTCCAAAGCCCGCATCAATCTCTCTTGTGTCTGGACCCGTCAACCATGGTGATGGTTTGAAAAAGTGTGGTGAAGATCAATGTGGTCGGCTTTCAAACTCTGCAATTCTTAATACTTTAGATGCATTTCTATCATATCTCCCCAGTGATGAGAAGAGAGATGTGGAAAGTCTGGTCCAGACGCACCTTACCCTTTTTGGAGATGTGCCCTCTAGGACCTCTGTGCTGGAGCATGATATCGATGTGGGTGATGCAATCCCTATAAAACAGCATGCATACCGTTGCCCCCCAAGCAAGAGGGAAATTATTAAAAAAGAGGTACAGTACCTACTGGAAAATGGTTTGGCTGTTCCAAGCCATAGCTCCTGGAGCTCCATGTCTTCTAACACCAAAGTCAGATGGTTCTTCTCGTCTTTGTACAGACTTTTGGAGAGTAAATGCTGTCACAGTTCCTGATTCATATCCATTGCCCCACATGGAAGACTGCATAGACAGCGTTGGTGCAGCTGTGTATATAGCAAAGCTAGATTTGCTGAAAGGGTACTGGCAAGTACCCCTGACTTCCAGAGCTTCTGATATTTCAGCTTTTGTCACTCCAGATCATTTTCTGCAGTACACAGTAATGGCATTTGGGATGCGTAATGCACCAGCTACCTTTCAGCGACTGATGAATCTTGTATTGGGTGATATTAAGAACTGTAATGTCTACCTGGATGACATTATAATCTATTCATCGTGCTGGACCGATCATATTAACACTCTCAAAGCTGTGTTTGCTCGTTTAGCCCAAGCCTCCCTCACTTTGAACCTGGCAAAATGTGAGTTTGCCAAAGCAGTTGTGACCTACCTTGGAAAAGAAGTAGGCCATGGCCAGGTCCGTCCTGTCAATGCAAAAGTGGAGGCAGTCCTAAACTACCCTGTACCCACTACCAGACGTGAGCTCCGACGATTCTTAGGTCTGGTTGG